GAATTGGCGATTGCTGTTCAGAATTGTTTCTATTCCACGCATCTTGTTCAGTCGATTTCCAGAAGCTCTCAATGTTTTCGGGTAAAAAATTAAATACCTAACGAGTATAATTTTACCGATTTATGTGGTATAATTGGATATTTTGAATTGCATTCACGTTGTGTATATGTGTATCTAAAGTGACATATCGTTATACAGCAACATTAATGCATATAGCTCTGGAATCGATCCCACCCAACGATATTGATCCAACCCCGGATTTGAAAAGCGAAAATTTTATACAGTAGGTAGCCCCAGTAGCTATCCATATTAACTTTTTTTACTACAGTGGTCTAAACTACTATTTTTGTTAAATGAACATTTTTTCATGATCACCAAGAATGGCCAAAAATATTGTAAATTTTAGAGTTGACATTTGTTACTTGATAGTAAGTTCTTTTACCAAGCTATCGTTCAGCTAGAGTTGCCTCAGCGTTTTCAGAATCCACATTCAGATGAATCATTCAAAGAATTCAGAGATTTATTTTCATTAGGCTTCGAGAGTGGAATTTCAAGAATTGAAGATTCCGCCGCTACCTCTCACCTTGCCAGGAACGCGCGGGCGAATGGCCCACTGAAGACGGTTTAGCAACCCAAGGCCAAGGTAGAGTCGGGTCGGAGTAAAGAAAGGTATCGGAATTAGAATTGATAATCAGAAGAACAATGGACTGTGGGCGCCAACGTCCTTGAGTGTCATCCTTTCACTGGGGCGAAATATCAACCACAAGGTCACACGTACAGACGCACACACGCACACACACGCACTCACAGTCCGGTTAACCACAGGTTCTGATTAAATTCCTTTCTTCTGACTCCATTGTTAGGCAGATTGTTGGGTTGTCGCACGAATTCATTATGTTATTGGTTCTTGATTGGTATGTGCTTGCAGTTTTTTTTTTCTCTGGGTAGGAGGTACATAGGTTTATTTGTTTTTGAACTATTTTTAAATTTATTTATTCAGTTACTAAACAAAATTTTGAATTTAAGATACTATTGGTCAATGTGTAATGTAAATAGTTTTATTTAAATGTTATTGTTTACAATTTATTCCACACAATTTTATACATTCTTCCGTCCTTGTACTGTTGTTAATCTCCTGGTTTTACCACTATCATGTGTTTTAAATTTTACCTCGCTTCATTTTGCTATTTGTATTGTTTATTGCTTGTTGCATATTTATTTTTTTCTATTTATACCTTGGGTTGGTAAAACTATTTGTGTTTGATATAATTTCATAGCAATAGCAACCAGTCTTAAACAAATATTTACTATCAATGATGTATATTGTAAGTTAGATATTGTCGCTGGATTAGATTAAAGACTATTAAGTGCATTAAGAACCGATAACAAGAGAAATATAAGTTTTTAACACCTTTTAATTCGTAAATGGCCATAATACTGGTTCTGATTCTTTAACAGACATAATTCAAAAGATCAATATTCAATGATAGCTGGATCTGGTTTCAAACATGGAAAAAACTGGTTGAGATTTATTATTCCAATCCTAACTCTAGTCTTCAACAGAAAGTCTATTGAAACATATTTGTTTTGACGCTATAAAATAGTATATAAACTGATATTATCGAGCAATACAATAAATGTACAAACGCAAACGTTGTGTGGCCCCCGTCACAACACAACAAAGATACAGACAAGTGGGCAAGAGTACACACATCTTGTACAAACATCTTCTGTAATAACAGCATTGACGGCCAAATTGAATGATGGATGGGAACATGTCGACATGGACGTGTCACGGAACAACCGGTGTGGCAAGTCGAAGATACGATAATCGACATATCGATAAAGGTCGAGGTCGAAATAAACCTACCGATTAACAAATTGTGTGTACATTGTCGCTGAAGGTACGGATTTGATTTTATGATAGAGTGAGTGTCTAAAATAAGTACAAAATAAGTTTCGTCCGCATAATAGTGTTTTTCATAATTAGCAATTATTATTTTCGTTACTATCATTAGTTTTCGACTGCGATGAACACATAGGTGTTTATTATGACCTCAATATTAGGTCAGGCTAAAGTAAAACGAATCAAGATGATCCGTGCAGCTTTTTTTACTGCCTAGGATCAGATTATTATATTGCAAGGAAAATGCATCAAAAACTTTGTGATCGAGGAGAGTTGATCCCATTTTTAGAATGTTTCTCAGGACTTATCGGCAACCCTCTGATGTCTTCTCAAGCACAGCACAGTGTAATTTACGTTTACAATCAGTTATCTTTATTTTCATACATTGTACATTATGTTTTATAGTATTAACTCACTATACCCTTATCAATCATAGAGATAGGGACGCCAGCAAGATGCGTATTTTAACACAAACGAAGGATGAGTGGAGAATGGAGTGAGATGATCTGTGTATCTTTTTTTATAGGATAAGCTGTTATATTATCCAGGATCATATATTTAAAGCCCAATGATTATAAATAGCTGGGTCCAGTTTCGAACCATCAAAAAGCTACTGTCCAAAACTGTACCAAAACTTACTATACAAACTTGCTTCAAAGGAACATCAAACTAAGCATAAACTAGTCAGAACTTTGATTCCATGTAGACATATTTTGCTATAAAAACTTGTTACTGATTCACTTCATCCCGCATCATCAACTGCGCACCTCAGTGCAGAATTGCGCCAATGTGAGCGCTTTATTCGGCGTTGCAGTTCCGCTCACTTAGCGCCTAGTGGTCCGGACACTCTGGACTTGAACTTCTTTTTATAAACCACTTAAGATTTGGTGCTCGCCAACTGCTTTCTCTCTGCGGCAGCTGTTCAGTAAGGAGAGTCCGGATATCATTGTTATCCCATCTTCCGACCGGGGTCTTCAACTGGTTGGGATAGGTAATGGCTTTCACGTTAGATCCAAGGGGGGCTGAGGTATGATATGTTTCTGTCTGGCAGATAGTGATAATGGACCAATTAGGTAATTCATATCTCTACGGCCCAAACATTCACAAATTGTTTTCTGTAGCGTAACTTAGGCAACGAGTTGGAAGTGGATTCAATGAGCCATGACGTTAACTTGGTTCAAAATTGGTTTAAAGCCGGGTGTCAAAGTTCAGAGGGACAGCGTTAAACAATTGAACACCAAGGAGAGTGAAACTATCATTTTAAACCAGCCTACAATACGAAATATTCACGTTTATTTAGCAACTGAAATAAAGAAATGATTATGTTGCGAGAGTAGTGATGATAAAAATGTATAAGGACATTCTATAGTGCCATATACATGGATGTAGTCACTGTAGAATATAGCACAGCAAGGTCATTGAAAATGTCTACAGCTATCTCTCCAGCCTGTATACATTAAAGATTGATTTAATTTAAAGAACCATGGTAAAACCATATTTGTGTGAAGAGAAGATTACTTGCTTTGTAGGCACTAAATAACACATGAAGTGTAAACGAATACTTTATACGAGTATAATCCGTTGAATGCATCTTGTCACTATAACTGGTCCTCATTTGAAACGTGAGATGCAACCAAAAAGGTGAGATCACCTTCTGCAATACAAAAATTTAATGGGAAATCCTTTTATCTGTATGCAACGCCAAATAACCTGTCGTGCAAATGACGTACCAAAGTAGCAGATAGCACGGAGTGTAGGACTAGGAGTTCAAGGTTTACAATGAAAGGTGCTAATTGTTATTCATGTGGCATTTCTCGGAGAATGTTCATGAGTAAGGCCGTGACTATGGTGTAACAGTGTTGTGAGCTTCATCTCATATTAACACGGCCACTGTGGGCTCTGACTAAACAATCACTTGGAATGCGACATTTTATAGGTCATTTAACGTTGTGTTGATACAAATGTATTGTACTGTCCACAACAAGTATCAGGTCCATTAGAACGAGGATGCGCTATCTACCACTGAACTTGTTAATGTACGTGTGAAGCAAAAAGGTCTTTGTGCTCTAAGGAGTCCCTGGGTCTATTAAAGATTTCCGGTGGCTTGATCATCACACTTTTGATCTTCCAGCTGTTAGCTGCTACATAAATACATTTCAATAACAAAGTATCAAAATTATTTGCAGGTATGAGTGTTATCATCGTCAGCTCGTTTTAAAATCATTAGTGTGATCAGCGTAAACATAACCACTATAAATACGCTAACAAGTGCCAGAGTCAGCAACATTGTGAGTTTACATTATAAGTCATTGACATTAGTGTCTGCTCAAGTGCCAGCAACTTAAGTTGCAGTATAGGCCTACTATCGTATAAAAATAAACGCTAGATTTTATATTATAGACTGTAAATACTGTACGAACTTGAAACTGTGATGTACTTGTTTTTATATATGAAAAAATTATTTTCGTTACATACAGGTAAGGAGTATTACTACTGCTACTATACTAGGTTTAAGTCTACTAAACGTTCAACAACTTTCATTCTTTGAACTTCAACACTTGGGATTTCCTAGCTATAGCAAGCAACATGATATAATTTATCATCAAAATTTAAATCTGTGTCCACCATATTTGCATGTTACTAGTTACCAAAAAACTATCAGTTACAGTTGCAGGCTATCTTAAAGGGATCGTTATTTGGAATTGGAGGCTATACTATACTTAAGAGACTTCCTTTTTGAGTTTGTCACGAGTCTCGTTCCCAGCCTTCGTCTTATACAATAAAAATTATAAGGAGCCCCATTAACCTCGATGACTAAATTATCCCACAGCTTTCAATGCCTGTAATTTCGTCCGAACGTTGAACGATAACTATGCTAATTTCTTGATAACCCGAATTGGATATTAAAATTAGCGTTTTCAGATGCTTAACTGGTTTGTATGTTTGCAATCATGTAATGTGACAAAAACTTAGCATTTACCTTAACAGACAATAACATATAATATTTATTATTTTAATACGTTATATAGGCTAATTAACGTTTATTAACCTCACACTCCGGTTCAAACATTTGGAAAAATCAAACTATTGAAACAATTAGGTTATTACTTTTTATTATGGTTTATAATATTTAAACTAAACTCTACAGAACTGCAATAAATACAAAGCTCATGAACAATAAATCTAATGGTTTCTACCCTCCAATGATCATTTACCATACTAAAAATATAATGGGTAATAATCTTACCACATTCCATAAGTAAGTATATCTACTGCTATTTGGCTTGAGTCTATAACTAAAGCTACTTTAAGCATACTGAGTTTCATCAACTATTTCGTGATCGTGATCTAAGAATTTACTTGAAATGATGGCCTCTACCACTATAGCCTTGACTATTGGAACTATTTACATTTACAAGGTAACTCGTTGTATCACCAGCTGCAGCATCATTTACCAGGAGGTAGGTATGAGTTGGTAGGACTTCCTCCAGATGGGCCATTGGATGGGTAGCCGTTGAATCCGCCGCTGCCGCCTCCACTGCCGCCTCCAAAACCACCACCTCCATTTCCTCTGTTGCCACCTCCTGATGGTCCGGATGGATAACCTCCGCCTCCGCCACTACCACCTCTGCCATTACCTCCTCCAAATCCAGATCCTCCGGAAGGACCTCCAGATGGATATCCACCGCTACCACCACTACCACCTCCAAATCCAGATCCACCGGATGGACCTCCTGATGGATATCCTCCTCCACCACCTCCACCGTTGCCACCTCCAAATCCAGATCCACCGGAAGGACCTCCAGATGGATATCCGCCGCTTCCACCATTCCCGCCTCCGAATCCTGATCCACTGGATGGACCTCCTGATGGATATCCTCCTCCACCACCTCCACCGTTGCCACCTCCAAATCCAGATCCACCGGAAGGACCTCCAGATGGATATCCGCCGCTTCCACCACTACCGCCTCCGAATCCAGATCCACCGGATGGACCTCCTGATGGATATCCTCCTCCACCACCTCCACCGCTGCCGCCTCCAAATCCAGATCCTCCGGAAGGACCAGATGGATATCCGCCTCCGGCACCACCTTGGTTGGCTTCTCCTTCGTACTTAACGTCGGCGTTGTATCCACTGGCGTCGTCTGCTGTGTAGGATACCACCTGAAAAAAGTGAAACGAATATGAGTAGGTCAATGTTGAAACTCTATGGAGTGTAAGATATGTTTCATGTATTACAAATTAAATTCAAACTTTCTTCTTATTGGATATACTGTAGTACGTTTTTTTCTCGTTTATGTGTAAAGTCTTGAGAGTAAGAGGGCTCTAAACAAAAATAGTATATGCTGTGACTAGAACTATAGCTGATACTGTTAATCATTTAATAAGTTACACCATTTAAAATCCAACCGCTAGAAAATAAGATCTGCAATACTTGTTAAATAGAAACATAAAAAACTTCTCTCAACTCGAGAGTTCAGTTTTTCTACTCCCACCCCCTAAGTTCCAACCAAGGACTCTACACCTGCTCCTACCAAGTTCTACCATTGCTTCTTCTACTTCCCCAGTCCCTATCATCTACCCACCTGTCGTCTCCCGTCGGGCAGCAAGACCTTGTACTCGCCAGTCACCCTCTGTCCGTCACTCTCCGCGCGGTGGCTGAACTCTGTACCACTCTGGGGGTCGTTCACCTCGTAGGAGAAGCTGAACGGCTCCGGCTGGACAGTGCACATAGAGAGGGTGTGAATAGTTAAATAACAGGGTTAGTAAGATGGATCTTAAAAATAATGTTCAGCTAAGATTGAAAGACAGCGTTAAATACAATATTTTAAAAATCAAATACGTTTAGTTTCAGTATTCGAAAAAGGTTCACAGGTAAAATACCTTCCAACAACAACGATAATTAACTATTACAGGATTATAGTCTGAATTTGCATTTCCTATAGTATGAACATGTAAAATGTTTCTTATATGCAGCAGATGAAATTTTTATACTGTACAGTAGCTTGTTTTGGATGTACAGGTAAAGGTATGTTGAGGTTGAGATTAGGTATGGCAAAAGTCAATACTGCTATATTACACCGAAACATATTTACTAAGGAAAATGTGATTTGTTAATTTTAGTAAAATAATATTGGTCTTTAGTTGTAAGCACAATATTTTTGTGAATTTCCTCTATAGGAAAGAAGCTATTACCGTAGGTGGCATAGTGCTGGGACCAATTTACCTTTTCATATTATGGCCCCAGGGACCTACTAGCCTATACAGGGTGATTGATATAAGTGTGCCAGCCGTTTTATTCGAAAACCATAAGAGATATCAAAAAAAGCTAAATGGTAAGTACCTTGGAATTTTTATTTAAAAAATTTTAGTAAAGTCAAAAAATGATTTTAGCCGCCATTTTTCCAATATGGCCGCCAACTTTGATTTTTCTTATGGAACACCCTGTATTTTATGATATATTCTGGTAGAAACTGTAATTTTAAGACGATTTTATTCTTGTAATTTTTTTCATAAACCTAACCGTTTCAAAGATAATAATGGTTTAAGTTGTGAAATTTGGAATGGTTTTCGAATAAAACAGCTGGCATGCTTGCTTAGGCCTTTATCGAAACTCTTTTTCATGCAGAAATTTCAAAACTTTAACCATTATTATCTTTGAAACGGTTAGATTTATAAAAAAAATTATATGAATAAAATCGTCCTAAAATTACATTTTCTACAAGAATACATTATAAAACACAGGATGTTCCATAAGAAAAATCAAAGTTGGCGGCCATATTGGAAAAATGGCGGCTAAAATTTTTTTTTTACTTGACTACAATTTTTTTAAATAAAAAATCCAAGGCACTTACCATTTAACTTTTTTTGATACCTCTTATCGTTTTCGAATAAAACGGCTGGCACACTTATATCAATCACCCTGTATAATTATTCAAGTCTGTGCAATGTGCATTCCATGCAATAAATAATTTCTCTGTTATATCTCTTTTTTGCCCTTCCTAACCAATTTTTACAATTGAGGTTTCATTGTGTAGGATCTTTAGATTCTGTATTACTTTACTTTATCTAAATATTTTTATTTGCCTAATACCTAACTGAAACAAACATAATATTTAAAAGGTAAAAGTTTATTGAATTTGTCCCTGCAAACAAGAGTTAAAGAACGCTATTTTGATTATGGGTCTCATTGTTTGCTTTATAACATTCTTAAACGAGAATTGCAATTTAACAGCTCGTTAACTTCAGTTGAATTTTCAACTACAGACACACTGTAAACAAGAGAAAAGACCTTTTTTGAAAAGGGAATTTAAATATGCCACTTTATTTCATATTTGTAATCTGATTGAGGTAGCTAGGTGTGACCACATACCTTATGCAGGGGAACTCTTCTGGTTTATTTACACAATCCTTAGTAAATATCTGTTCTACATTATGAATACAAAATGTATATTAAATTGGAAAATAAAAACCAATCTTACCTTAGCATCTCCATCGCCGCCTCCGTATCCACCGCCTCCACCTCCACCTGCATTTCCGCCATCACCAAACCCACCGCCGCCGGGAGGTCTGCCGTCACCGTAGCCGCCTCCACCGCCGCCCCCACCGCCGCCCCCGGGCGTGTACCCTGGGGGACCGTACGATGGAGCTGGTGGCTCGCCATGGGACTGTAGCGCCAGCAGACACAACGTCAGCAGCCCGCAGTGGATCTGTGTAAATCAAGAGTATAGTTAGAATTGAAGGCGCTTAAGAAATTGCAGTAAGCCAGTTTGCAAAGTTTGATTAAAATTTTCCTAAAACTTTTTAAGTCAGCGTTAGGGTTATCTTTGAAATATTAAATTTTAAAATTATATTCCTTTAAAAATATTTGTTTCGTCTACTACCATTGCCTTTTGGGTGCTAAAGTAAAAATCTCACCTTTTACGTGTTTTGTACATTTCCAAACAAAGAGCTTAATGTATATTTTTACAAATTCTACATACGCCTTTAGTTAGGATTTAAATTTTTTTAGAATACACCACAAATACTGATGGTTTTAAACCTTGTATTTTCTTCTTAAATTATGACATTAAACACTGCAACTACTAAAATACATTACTAAACGTTTGAGTGCCCTCATAATATTTGCGAAATATTTACTTTTTTTATTTAATTAAATTTGTAGTAGACCCTAACTTGTTACATTTTGATAAATTTAGTTTGTTTACTTTGTGCACAGTTGCATGAGTTAAACCAAAGAGAGTATTTAAAATCTAAGTTATAAGCAGTTTACTTTTGTGTTAAAAAAACAACCGCTTCTTGTTTCTTTGATCAGTAGTTTGTAAATGAAATGCCTTAAACTATGAAACTGGTAACTTTCCATATCGAATGATCCAGATTTTTTTCAGTTTTAGAACCAAAATGAACGTACTAGATTTTAATTAAGTCACCAACGGAGTATGCACGTGTAAAATATACTGATCCATGCAGAATTAATACGCCTACATTATAAACAGAAGTTTTTACATCTAACAAAAACTAAGAGCTATATAAGAATGCCAAATAGTAGCACAAAGTGTGAGTTCAACGATGTGTTTTTATGGCTACTAACAGCTGACTTTAAAATAGGCTAATTTAATACTGTAACAAATAGTTGCAGTATTTTCATATGTGGATCAGCAAAACTTATTCCTTCTCCCCATCGCAGGAATACCCTCCCACTGTCAACACAACACAGCGACTACAGCCTAGAATCTGATCTGATTCATATAGATCTTAACATCCTATGCTGTTGCTTTATGTGAATGGTTCAGTAAGTACACTTGTATTGGTTTATCCACCTACAATCTAACCAAACAGGAACCGACTATTCCAGTCGACACAGAGCAAGATCTTTTCCCACGATCTTCCTTGCTCTGTGTCACTAGCAATGCATTCAGTCGCTGACAAACCACCCGTGCTATCTTAACCATGTATCATGTAGGTAAGCCTGTGTGGATCTTGCAATTGTTGATGATTTTATATCTGTGAAGAAAGTTTGCCATACGACTAATTGTAACATCTAAAAATACAAGTTTTAGTGGACTTAAAATGTACGTGAAACTTAAGCTCGGGTGAAAAAGAGTCACTTTACGCCCTAGTGATGAAATATACAATTATTTCTTCAAATGGCATTGTTACCCTTAATATGTTTGAATTTTTTTTTTTAAGATTAATCATTAGACTAATATGTGAACTATATTGAGCACTTTGTAAACAACCATTTAATACACTACAAACTCAACCCTGGCCTCAGTGTACTATAGTAGTTCCAAAACGTTATAAATATTATAAAAACCTAGATTATAGAATTAGCTCTAACAAGCCCGCTGTCATCGGCTTGTAAATCAAACAATAAATTATCTTGAGAATTTAAATACCCCCGCCACAGCAAATCTGCAGACTAAGCGAATTTCCATTTGCCGGATTTGATTTTTAATTACATGTATTCAAATAACATAAGGTTTAACGAGTACCTAGGTTTGCTGCCTACAGGGCTAATAAAGTGTGTTTTTTAGTAAAATTGTAATAGCTTACAAGCAAACTACAACAGTCTACTTATTCTCTATAAGAATAACATTGAAATTTTTAATTTAAATAAAAAACTCCACTGTTACAAACGTGTAAACCTACATTAATTCAAACGAGTTGGTGAACCAGCATGGTCGGACCATGGGAACGGGGGTTTAGCCATAAGTAACCAATATGGTCTAGAACAAATTTAGGATATTGAGGGTAAAAAAAGAGAAAACCCAATTTTAAACCCCATAAATCCCGCAAAAACCCCCATTCCCATGGTCCGACCATGCTGGTTCGCCAACTCGTTTGAATTAATGTAGGTTTACACGTTTGTACCAAACTTCATTGAAATCGGATGATTTTTGCTCGAGTTATCGCGCTAACCGACACACACATATATATATATAAATATGAATTTGAACGGATAGTTTTTATTTTGCTTCTAGGGACATCAAAATGAAAAAAGTAAATCGTTCCCCTGTCCAAGTATTACCATGAGACCTACGGTAACTTATTCCCTATATGAGAAGTTCGATCGAAACCACGCCAAAATAAATAAATTCAGAAGGAATCTAAAGACACGCCAAAGGAATAACGCTTACTCCTCCGCCAAAGAGTTTTCTGAGAGATGCAACACCGAAAGCGATTGCCATTGCTGAAGAACTATATAACCTGTATGCAAGTATCTTATCCTTAAACTTTACCTTCATCCTGCACAGACGACTACAGAGGATCAACTACTGTGTTCAGCGCCTCCCATGCTTTTATACACTATATATTGTCGTCGTGACTTGCGGATGTGTGAGAGGAGATCGAGGACAGATCAGGAACATTTCTGGATCAGGATGCACAGGGTGAACTCACGGCGTACCTCAGGGCTCTGCTCTTGGGCCTGTGATATTTGTCTGCATCTTGTTGGTGATCTGTGAAGTTCCCCATTGTTCACACAACGAATTGGTTGCGGACTTGTTTTAGACAAATATAATTTGAGGTGTAGTGATTTGTATCTATTCTCTGTTTTTTACTACTAAATATTATATCTGCGTGATGTACAGCAAAATACAAATGCCATTAGCTATACTTAAATAAAAACGTGCGTCAAAAGGTTCAGAAAATCTGTCATACCAATAATTATGCTAAAACTGGGAAGATGTATACTGTATAACGAAATATAAATGGGTATAGGGGTATATAGGTGGTCCATACTTTATATCCATACCACATACTTAAAATCCATACCACATATATGGTATGAAGGTCATGAATTGAAATTGAGGTTAAAATGAACAAGTTTCCCACCGTGAAGACACGAGTGCAGTATTACAAATTCACAAAATAAAACAACAAACACAATTAATTAATGGTAGTGAACAACTAAGGAGCTTTTTACAGGCATACTTGTACACAATGTAATGTGAAAAGGCAACTATTACCTGCTAACTGCATCTTTATAACTACGTGTGTACCCCTCTGTACCCTCATCTCTAAATAAGTGAATTCTAGGAGCTAGCCATTGAAGTGTCTGTCTAATGTGCGACTAAACAATCTCTTTAGATTTACGAATAAGAATATTAGGGATTAGTTCAATTAAAGCTTCTTTGCGTCTTATATAGAGTCGAACAATTCTACAAAACCTGGAACCAAGGGGATGTGCGTAGCCAAAATAGTGCCACTAACAGCTCCCATGGCTTCATTTAGCTGGAAGTCCATCTATTATACATGAATAATATCAAACATATGGAATTGCGATTTTCAGTGACAGAGCTCAGGGTGGAAATGTTATCCCCTTAGCTACCGCATTTTACAATTCGCTCTCAAACGTGTGAAATTTACCATTCGTTTCTCTCAGATACCATGGATGGTCAAAGATAGTGCTTAGGCTCGATACCACGAAGTTTGGCCCTCAGTTCAAGAGTTGCTAGTAATTTTTTTTTAGCTGGAAAAAAAGAGTTCCAGTTTTATGGATTACATATACAATGTGGGACAATAATTGAGGGTAAGAAGACCATTTTTGTACCTCCTCATCTTGATCAGATTAACCAAAATATGCGATATTAAGAGCATAAACTATTAAAGATTTACAAAAAAGAATATTATAAGGTATAACAGCTGTATAAACTTCGAGCAACGGTGAAACGACCACCATCCCTTGCGGAGGACCATCTTTGAGTTTCCTAGAAGTTCTTACATTCTTCCGCTTTCGTTGATGATTGATTATAACATAAGTAAGAAGACTCTTTTGATGGTCATACACTTAGCCAAGACAATCTCATTTGACATTGCAGATGCAATTTACTACGGGTTCTAAATGTTAGGTCAATTTGAGAACAAATATTTTTGGTTGCCTAGGTTACAATTTGCTACGTGACCATAAGTACTAGTTTTAACGTTTATTAAATAACAATAAACAAATAGCAAACAACAAGAGTCCTTCTAACTCCCATACCAGACAGAACTTACTGTTTTCAATGATATTATAAGGATGATATATGTATCAGGTATATGTTTAATCAATGTTTTGGATATTATGTAATCAAAATTCCATTTGACGTATCCAAAGTCAATGAATACATTAACCATCAAGGCTAGAAAGGCATCCAGGCAGAAGTACAACTCTGCTGTGTAACAATAGAATGTACAGCCTTGAGACCGACCACGTGAAGAAGATACCAGCTGACTCGCTGTTCTGTCGTCTGCTCCAGATCAGCTGTTCGCATTCACTGCCAATTATATCACCGAGCTCTGGTGGCTTGATAGTGTGGTAACAGGTCATGTAGCGATGCTGTGTACATGTATAATGTATGACGATGCTCCTCGCACTCATGCCGAGCTTCGGTAGCTGGGAAAAGTCGTTCAGGGAAACTGTTCACGGTACATGACGTAATATTTTTTTTATTTGACCATGCTATCGCACTAGTTGCAGATTGAGTTGGATAACAAAAAGTTTTGATACATGTATGATGAATAAATATTTTCAAAATTGGCGTGTTCATCATCGTGTGAACATTTTGTGCTCACCCCGACACCGTATACTGATTCGAGCTGTTCATGTTCATCACAGGTAAAACAAGTATGACTTCATGTCTTCTATTAAAATATTCATGTTTCATGGATACCGGCAAAAACAAACTTGTATGAAACGCAACTCGGTTTTGAAATGTAGAAATAACTCCAGCCACTAAATATTTAAGCATATTAAAAACCCAATCACTTGACGTATACATACAAATCAAATCACATTCAACATTCTACTAAGCTCTGTCTGGTTTAATATTTAATTACCTTGACAGCGTCTGAGATATTAATTTACCTTAACCGACATTTTGGGAACGTACAGCAACTCACCATCCGGTCAAAACAAGTTCTAGTTGAACTAGTTTTTGTCTTGAAGACGGTTGCTGCATCAGCCCGAAACATCTGTTACATTAGATAATTAACTAGTTTTTCGATGCTGTAATCGGATGTTTATTTATAAGCCAGGCTAAGAATTAAACAAGAGGTTTTAGTTAAATTCTGAAGGTAGTTTGGAAATCGATATACTGCATTTTAAAAGTTCGTTGATGCATCCATCGTTCAGCTAGTTGGTAAGATGATGTAAAAGTAGAGTTTAGACTGGAATGTCCCAGCTGTTTCATCAAGCGTAGAAACTCACGCAGATTGTAACTGCAACATTCACACGTACACATGAACATCACGATCTTCCTCAACCCCCCCCCCCCCTCAAACTGTGAACCCCTGCTTTACCTTACATTCACATAGGTTGTATAACTACCATGCAACATGCATCTTAAAGCGTTACAGGTTGTAAGCGAAGGGAACATATACAATGATATTTTATAGTAGGCATATACCATTATTACGAAATCTCAACGCAAGTTGTAACAGCTAACCGACATCCATGGGTTTAATATTCATCCAATAGCAATGCCGTTGATAGTTTTAGCAAGTATTCTTTTAGTATTACTTGTAAAAATGTTGGTTTACAAGTACATACATCTCTTCGGGTATTTTAACCGTTGATTCGTGTAAATGATCCAGAAGTAAAATAAAATTTAACATCAATCGTATGTGTTGCTTCTTATAAGGTTTTGTATTCATTGATTTAAGCTAGAACTTTTTAGGATACCGTTAAAGCCTTCCTAACGAATCCTAAAAAAGGATTCGTTTTTAGGATACTGTACCTCATACTGGCTGTGGCCAAGATTATTATACCAAAACAGAACATCCAATGAGCCTCTCACATAGTGTACTACTGCTACAATATGAATAAGCTGTGTTTATCATTAAGTTTGATAGAAAGATTAAGTTAATGTGACCTAAAACATGTATAATTTATCAATTCCAATACATTCGAGTTTGTTGACTACCTTTCTCCTGACATCAGTTTACTTGTTAATGGTATGTCTACTATCAATAAGCAAAGCTCGTTAAGTTCAGTTTACAAGTTGTTGCATGTTGCATTCCAACTTCCCTTGTTTACCATTAAATCAGCTGATACACCGAGACTTACTTTCGATTATTTAAATCAGCTGAGCAATAATGGGTTCAAATCGTGATCGCGTCTCTTCCTGCAACGCTCCTGGCGGAATGTTCATGAATCACTCAAACCAGCGCACTGCTCGACACCTGTTGGAATAACTTCCCCAAGTCACTTAAATTGATTCACATTTAATTGACGCCTTTTGGTATTCTAGGTATTCTTCTTGATGGGATTCTGAAAATATCACTGGCTGTGGTAAAATATTATTTTAGTACTGTAGGAATAAAAGTGTAATTAAAGTTTTTACTCATCCATTTTGCAGAGTTCTTCGTTATTCTATAAACCATCCACACTACGCTACACTTTTGTGTGCATCTTAGTCAATCTTTCCTCTTATTTGGTTTAAACTAACAGGACACAATTAAACACCTGAGCCCTAAAAATGTTAAAGAATCCATTATGACGAAAAGATTTTTATTTCCCTTATGGAAAATAATTTAAATTATACTAATGCTTACATGACAAATAAAAAATCTGATGTCAGATTTTACAGATATTTTAAGATCGTGTAAGATAAGAACCTTTATAGACATAAAGAACAATCACTCAAAGAAACAAGATGGTGGATGGTTTATATGGATGATTACCATATAGACATGCATTTGATTTATTATAGATATACATTAGCTATTATACCTAATCATACAACGAATAATACCTTATATCAAATGCACAAATTTTCAAGAACCGTACAAAGAGTGTTAAACGTGTAAGAAGAACCATAAAGTTTATTAACTAAATTCTACGATTTTAAGCTAATTCGCTCTAAGCCAATAATAGTGTGTTTGCGTTATATGGTTATAGCAATCAAAGAGGTAATTTTTAAGGCTTATGGCATGATATTACTTTATAATTTTATTCAAGGTGTTTTTTTTTACGCGACCCAAATTAAAAGTACCACAAGACACTTTTTAACGACAAAACAAGCTCACATGTTGGTATCCCTGTTTTCTTTACTCCATTACCGGTCAGCTGATACACATTATTGCAAAGTTATCATCAATGAGTTTTTAGTGTTATTGGGAATTATTGTGAATTAAGACACAAGGTGTTTTCACCAGCTCAAAGAGTATCAATTTTACAATAACAGTTTAAATCATTGGTTTTATGCAAAGAAAGGTTTAAAATTACGTTTCTAGTACCTAAGTATAAAATATTAATAGAAATGCCCAAATTCAAGGAAACTGAT